GGAAGGGCAGGGGGGGCGAAGAGAGTGTGTCCCCGGAGCTGGCCAGTGGAGCGCATGCCTCTTTCTCTCGGGGGCTTCGCTCCTCTAGGTGGTGGAGAAGTGCCCAGTGACTGGCATTGAGGTCAGAACGGACGATCTGGGAGTCAAAAGGGTGGCGGCGGTTGTGACGGAGAGCGGGACCATCCAGACACCTTGTGTGGTGAACTGTGCAGGTAAGGAGGTCCTCTATGCACGCACACGCACACACATACACACACCCTCGAAGAAAGGGGAGCTCCCCTCTGGCCTTGCCTAGAGCCGTGAGGGGAAGAGCATCCGAAGTGGGGCTGCTGCCAGAGAGGCCAGAGTGCGACCCTCTTGCCCTCCTCTGCTCTGAGCTCAAGCAGGACTGATGGCAGGAAAGGGCCAACCCCCTGGAGCGCGCCGGCTCTGAGGCGCTCTGGAATGGCCGAGGATTTCAGCGGGGAATTTGATCCCCCCCCCTCGCTTTCTGCTACTCCCCGCACCCCATAGCCAAGGATGGGGGACACCAACAATAACCCAATCGATCAATCCTTGTGGGAAGGTGTTGTGGTGCCTCTTTCCCTCCCTCTGCCGTTGCTGTGGCTTCTCTGCCTGCTGTCCGTCCATCTCTCTTTCTTTCTCTCTTTCATCTCTCTCTCTCTCTCTGGCAGGCCTCCTTTCCTTCTTCCGCCCCTTCCTTCCTTCCTTCCTTCCTCTGCCCTTCTTCCTCCCATCCCAAGAGAAGCACAGGCAGCAGAGCCCACCCGGCTGGTGGAGGGGGGGGGAAGGGAGGGAGGGAGGGAGGACTCCAGCTGCCCTGGAGGCATGCCGGAGGGACACAGAAGGCAAATCGAGCAGTGGCAGTGCCACCCAGCAGGCACCAAAGACCGTCCCCTGTGCCTCGCCTCCCATTGCTGTTTGTGCATCTGCGCCTCATTCCCAGGGCTGTTGCTGCGACCTGGAGCCGCTTTCTGGCGGGGGGGGGGAGGCAGGACCGCTTCTGTCTCCGATTCTCCCTTTCTCAAAGATGCCAGAGGTTGCGGTGAGCCTCTGCATCAGCCAGGAGCCCCCTCCCTCCTTCCCCTCCCCCGAAGCATTCCTGATTGCCCCAAATCCTTTGACGGCAGCTCCTCCTTCTCTGACAGGTGTGTGGGCCCCATCCCTGGGGAAGATGGCCGGGGTGCGCGTCCCCCTCGTGGCCATGCACCATGCCTACGTGGTGACCGAAAGGATCGAGGGGATTCAGGTGAGTGGGTACTTGGTGGTGATGCAGGTACGGCCGGACTCTCCCTGAGGCAGGGTTGCGTTTCCCTCCATGGGGGTGTCTGCTTGGGGGGCTCGTTGGTTGCTAAGACCTAATTTGTAGCCATAAATGGGAAGGAAACCCTGTTTGGAGGCTGGAGGTGTGGAAAAAATGAGGTCGGCTCCTGTTTACAATTTCACAGCACAGAAACAGAAGGTCAGTTTCCAGTCCAGGCGTGCAGTTCTGGAGGAAGCTCCGTAGCTATACTGGACGTGCTGAGACATTCATGCCCAGGCTGCCACGCAAGACCAGTTGCAGTCCCACAAGAACCAAAGTGCACTTGGGCAAAGACCAAGGACTTTGCCCCCCACCCCCACCCCGTGTTGCTTGTTGTGCCTTTCTTTGGTTGAGCTCCGGTGGGCTGGC